GCGTTCTCTTACCAACGACAGCCACCTTACTCATCAACCAAGACCTCCACAATTTAATTTGATATATCGCCAACCCTAGAATCTCGCGCGTTGTTACTTGTGGCGCTAAACGGGGGTTACATATTTTAGATTGTATATGGAACGCTGTCGCCAATAGTAGCCGGTGATACATCAGCATTTGATTAACGAGCCTCAGGCTGCTGATGAGACCCAGAAGGCCGAAACAGCTCCGGAGTTTATTTGCAGAAACAAATGCCGCTGAATGTCGTCTGGAAAGCCAACAGGCTGACCGGACTTAAACATAGGGTAGGTTAATTCATAGATGGAGGTTTTGCTGATGTTTGCAATGTCATCTCTAGCACTGGTCATACTATACCGCCAACAGAATACATGAGTAGACTACAGTTAGTCAATGGGCAGGTTGAACTTGAACTTCTTTCGCACCGTACGTAGCCAGTCCTGCTAATTGGCAGCTCGTATGCGGTCAGACGCCTCTTGCAGGGCGTCTGACCGTCGTGGAAGAGTAGGCCAAAAATACCCTCGAGAGGGGCTCTCTAACGCTCCCTCTAGTGAAGGCCCTTCCGCCAGCAGGCGCGTGGGCAAAGCGGTTTTTCCAGGGCAGCACCCTCCAATGCTGCGTCAATGTGCTGCGGTTTCAATGACAAACCAAACACACAGCTCATCAATCCCTGGCAAGAGATAAGCCCTCGGGTCTCCGAGAGCGCTCCGTTGGAAATTGGGACCGCTCGCACACGACGGGATTATGTAGCTATAACGCTGGGGGATTTGTGTGTGTTTTTAGATGTACAGGGTGTCCCCACAAAAAGGCATCATCCATTATTAAAGTATTATAATGAGGCAGTAGTTTTGAATGAGGTCGATAAAACCCCCAGAGACAAAGATCAATTCCCAACGGAGACTCCAACGAACCGTGCCGGTGGGGCATCCAACACAGCCCGACGGACCTTGGCGGCACGGCGCAGCGACATTCCCACCGCCGGCTTCGGCACCGCCAACGGGGAGGAGCGTCAACCCCAGGCTCGCTCGCTCGCTCGCTTCGATCGAGAAGACAACGCTTCCGACTCTTTTAGAAATCGCGAACACAGCCACCGTGAAGTCGAGGGTCGTGAGCGCGTGCTCAAGCGCCCAGAGTGACACGCCACGGCCGACATCTCGGGAGGACGACTTGCGGGTCATCGTCGTTACCGTGCCCGCACATCCATTCCTCCCCACCGTGGGCGATGCATTTAAATGAGAGCTGTTTTTTTCTTTTCTCTCAAATTTTTTCCCAATCTTCCTGCTAAATGCCCGGGTCGCCGTGCCCAGACACGCAGCGTGGTGCGACACGCGGGCAACCGCGTAAACCCGCCGGGCACGTGCGCAGACTTGCTTTAAAGGTACACGCACACACACAGACAGACTCGCAGATGCTACCCTTCCCCACCACCCCCCTCCACCCCAAGTGTAGGCTTGTAAACGGAGAGCTGTTAGCGAGCACCTACTGACGTTGGCAAGACACACAAACAGGTTGGTATGGCCGGGCACCATGCAAGACTGCCTTTGCCGCCCCGTTTCCCATATTTACACACTGCACCAGTGACTTGATTTTGTTTATGCTGAGTCAACCTATTAGAAGCTCACACCAGATTTGTAATTGTTAAATCTCAATAGGTGGGGGGGGGGGGGGGGGCGCAATGGTTCGCGCATTACGCCATGAACTCTGTAACCCGAGTTTGACTCCTGGTCATGGCTATCAGCAGTGGCGAAGTAATATCTGCACCGACATGGGCTCCCCTTCATCAACGTTGACCAGCCAGGTGAAGTATGGCCGAACAACCGCCGAGACCGACCCGGTGTCAAGAGGCCTTCGTCCAGCAATTGCGCAACTCCGCTTAGCTTGCAAGGCAGGGATTAGATGGGGCGTATTCCAGACGGTTCGTTAATACTACATCGGCCATCACATATCAGTGAGCAGTAAATTATATTTTGTATGAACGTTCAGGCACATCAAAAACACCTCCATTCTCAAATGAGTCTCAAGTGATGTCCATCACCAATGGAGCCCCTGCGGCCCGTGGCAACATTTCCACAGTCCTGTGGCAGGAGATCTTCACCCCATTCCACAACGGCTGCTCCCAAAGTGGTGCTCATTTTATAAACCCCCGGAGAGACGACGACGATGATGATGATAATGATGGGCTCGACTCACAATTTGCAATCACAAACGTCTATCGAGGCCGGAACGTTGCATGACGAGGGGTTGGCGTGGCCAGCACCTTTGTCTCCGCAGTGCACTCTTAACGACAACTGCAGAGCCACGTGGGTCACATCTCCAAATCCCTCTGTCATTCAACCCGGCGTGATGTTGACACGCATCGAATATTCAACAAAACCATTTACATAATCCACTCTGCTTGTGGTTACCATTTGCAAATCGGAGGTAGGATAATTAAAAGGCATTAGGAGACGAAACCTGGCTTCAATTATTTCACAAAATAAGACTGCGTCCACAGGGAACAGGATTATGAAAATAAAAAAAATTAAAGAAGCAAGAAGCTCAGCTGGTGTGCAAGAAGGCAGGCAGGGGACTGACAGCTAGAATTGAAAGCTCATTGACCTGTCTGCCACTATGTCCACGTGGCCTTTCCAGATAACATTTCTCTCCACACGCCGTACTAACCACACGTGCACTTTTATTTCTTTATATACGTTAAACTGGCGGGGGGGGGGGGGGGGTTTGGTTATCGTGCGTGCCGTGTGCCTTCGTTTCGGTTGGGCAGCCCCGATTTAATTGGTACATCAAGGTGAGTTTCCATTGCCAATCCCGAGCGCAGTGGGCGAATCAGTGGTCATTGCTCAACGGAAAAACGTAAAGTGCAGCCCTGCTATTTGCTTGGAGATCTGAAATGTGAATTCTGCACACTTGATGGCGGAAGGGCGTCCGTGAGAGAGAGAAGTCTAGCGGAGCTCCTCACTACAGGATGGTTTGGCCGACTCTCTTTCATGCTGGAAGAGGCGGCAGTACCCACACTTTATCTCACCACACGCTACCCGCCCATCGACTAGCTGGTGTACCCATTTACCTTGTGCCGCTAAGTGGGAAGAGGCGTTGGGGGCGGGGATTAAGCAAACCGGCCATCGTTTCAGCCGCAGAGGCAGGAGATTGAATCGACCTGGCCACCTCCGGTTTGCAAGCGCAGCGTGCCGACCGCTACAGCACGCCGGGCTCCCGCTCAACAGTGCCGTGCAACAAGAGACAATCCTCAAACACGACGACACAAAGGTCCCCCGTATAGCCTTACAACAGACCGCCGGGGCCAAGTGCTGTTGTTAGCGAGCTCCTGTGAAGGCCGGCACGGCACACGAGGAGGCGGGTGGCCAGCACCACGCCCCGGCCACCTTCGTCTCTCCCCTCCCATCGCCGTTGTTTACACAAACGCACAAGATACCCATTTCTAAGGGTGAGACAACCTTGCGGGGGGAGTGCCCAGGACCGGGTTTGGATATCCGTCGCTGCCGTTGTTGGCTGCGAGCTCGGGTCGGCGGGTTTGTCGTGGCTCGGCACGCCGACCGCTGCGCCGCCGCTCCCCACGGAGACAATCGCGTAGACCACATTGCGACGACGACGCCGACGACACACGACACAGCGGTGCCGTGATAAACACTCGCGGCGTTAAATTGATACGACGCACGTCGATATATTGACGCGGCGCCACAAAGCGTATAGAGTCGCGCACTAATAACAGCCCGTCTCGGCGCTCAAATGGGCGCACGTGGTGGCCACTTATCTCAGGCCACGGCCCTAATTAAGCAGTGGACACTCAACATATCTATGCTGGTGGGACCAGTCTCTGCCCAGGGCAACTGCTGTTGACTTACAACAAAGCGGTGCACATTTGATCGACCTCGGGAGGAATAATGCTGATGGGCCGAGACGATTCCGGAGGGACGGGGGTAGAATTTGAATTCACAACGTTCCGAGTGCTCTATCCTGGCATTCCAGGTTTGCTCACACACGATAAACAAAGAACTGGTTGAAATATCGGAAGGTGGGAGCCGGTAACATCGTCAACTATTATTTGTTTTGACTATTTTATTTTACCAGGTAAGGCCCCACTGAGCTATGTAGCTTTTTTTTAAGGTGACCTGTCTATCACAAATGATAGCTCATTATCATTATGTGGAAATTTATACCAGCCAAATACTTGAAATGCATGTCCATAAATGCGGAGGGAAAACCAGGAATACTCGGAGAAAAATCCACGGGACCACGGGGAGAGACACGCCGCAAACTGCAAATATACAGCAGGCGTCAGGGTGGGGATCGAACCCACGACCTCCTGTAGACCAGGCGAGGGAGTTAACATCTCCTAGCCACCGTGATGATGAGAGAGAGACGCAAACTCCAAATATACAGCAGCAGGCGTCAGGGTCGGGATCGAACCCACGACCTCCTGTAGACCAGGCGAAGTAGTTAACATCTCCTAGCCACCGTGATGATGATGAGAGAGAGACGCAAACTCCAAATATACAGCAGCAGGCGTCAGGGTCGGGATCGAACTCACGACCTCCTGTAGACCAGGCGAAGTAGTTAACATCTCCTAGCCACCGTGATGATGATGAGAGAGAGACGCAAACTCCAAATATACAGCAGCAGGCGTCAGGGTCGGGATCGAACCCACGACCTCCTGTAGACCAGGCGAAGTAGTTAACATCTCCTAGCCACCGTGATGATGATGAGAGAGAGACGCAAACTCCAAATATACAGCAGCAGGCGTCAGGGTCGGGATCGAACTCACGACCTCCTGTAGACCAGGCGAAGTAGTTAACATCTCCTAGCCACCGTGATGATGATGAGAGAGAGACGCAAACTCCAAATATACAGCAGCAGGCGTCAGGGTCGGGATCGAACCCACGACCTCCTGTAGACCAGGCGAAGTAGTTAACATCTCCTAGCCACCGTGGCGCACGAGGACGTGGCCGCAAGCCGGGCGGCTCACCTCCATCCGTCGCGCGGTAGGTAGCTGAAGGCGCCGTCGATCACGCTGGCGCAGAACTGCCCGCCGGTGATGAACAGCGCGTTGATGGTGACGAGGCGGCCCCGCAGGTGTGGGGGGGAAGCCTCGGCGATGTACATGGGCACCGCCATGGAGGCCAGGCCTGCCACGTGTGGGAGGTGGGCACAGGGAGGGAGGGAGGGGGCATGGACGTCAAGGAGGAAGTGGTGAGAGAGGAAGCGAGAGTCAGGATGGGGGACAGCAGTAAAGGTGTCGGCGGTGAGATTGGGGGGGGGGGGCAGCAATGAATTGGGCGGTGGTGAGAATGGGGGGGGGGCAGCAATAAGTGGGGCAGCGGTGAGAGTGGGGGGGGCAGCAATGAATGGGGCGGTGGTGAGAATGGGGGGGGGGGGGCAGAAATAAGTGGGGCAGCGGTGACAGTGGGGGGGGCAGCAATAAGTGGTGCAGCGGTGAGAGTGCGGGGGTCAGCAATGAATGGGGCGGTGGTGAGAGGCGACATCTGGGAGAGGTGGACAGCAGCGACAGAGAGCTGGGGCAGTTACAGACTCGCCATCGAAATCAGCGGAAATCGCGGAGCCAATCGCCATCGGGTACGAAAGCAACTGCCACGAGTTGGGGGGGGAGGGGGGGGGAAGGAACCGCTCACCGATGCCACATCCGACGATCACGCGCCCCACCAGCAGCACCACGGGGCCCTGCGCGAGCCCGAGCGCCAGCGACCCCACCGCGAAGAGCGTCGACGCGGCCAGCACGACGGGGCGGCGGCCCGCGCAGTCCGCCGCCCAGCCCCCGAGCAGCGCCAGCAGCGCCGCGGCGCCCACGGCCGCCGACACGAGGGCCGCCTGCCACGCGGCGTTCAGCGCATAGCGGCGCTTCAGCAGCAGCATGGCACCCGACACCACGCCCGTGTCGTAGCCGAACAGGAAGCCGCCGATGGCCGAGAAGGCGCACAGCACGAAGATGAAGGTCGGCGTGGGGGGGCCGGTGCCGGCGGGCTCGGCGCCGTCGCCGCCGAGGTTGCTCTCGCTCGAGCCGGGACCCACGATGCGCCGGCGCTCCGTGTCCGAGCCACGTCGCCCGCCCATCTTGCTGATCGTCGGTTGGTGGGCGCCGTCAAAGCTTCAGCTGTCGCAACCCCCCCCTTGTAGCTCCTCCTCTTGGCCACCACCACCACCGTCACCACCGTCACCAGCGCAGCAGCAGCAGCTGCTACTGGAACCACCACCACCACATTGGGGTATGAGACGATGTTGTGGTTATGAGCTGAATGGAAGTGCTGGATGAGGAAGAAGCGTTGGAGGTCAGAGTGCAGGTAAAGTGTCTCCCTGGTGAAGTGAGCGCACGGTGGTAATGATCTCCATCGGCTGCCCTGAGCCAGTGGTGGAAATTCCACATTTTCATGGCAGGCACCACATCTCGACTGGGAACTGAAAAAGCCATTTGTTATTACCCTGCCACCCCCCTCCCCCCGATGCGTTTCCCAGGTTGTGCCGGAACGCCCTGTCCTGAGCGGTGACGAGTCACGGCGCTTCGTGCCACGTGACGAGCGCTTCAGTCCACCGAAGAGGTGTTGTGATGTATAATAATAATGATGATTCAATGTATAATGCGCAGTCCATCCCAGGATCCCAATGCGCATTGCATGAAAGGCAGGAAACAAAAAAAGAACCAAGGAAAACCGACCAAATTAAAGAGGGAAGGCCACATTAAAGAGATGGGTTTTCAAAACAGACTACCGACTCCGATTTCCTGTATGCGGACGATGGCCTTGATCCAGGGTCAACATACTGCACCCCCTTCTCCAGCGGAGGCCCTTCCGCCAAAGCGGTGGCATAGGCCAGCAATTGCAGGGCTGCACCTTTAGCTTTCGCGTAAATAATTCCCACTCGCACGCACTCAGTGCGCAGCCCATTTGTCAATCCACTGCTGGATGAGGTCCATAACTCCACCTACTTGATCATACTTCACCACACACCTGTCAACCCCCTTGTCAGTGCCCTACCTTGTTACAGACCAATTCAGAGCTTATTGGTCACCCCGTGCCCTTATAAATCTCAACGTGCATCCCACAAAGTCCCATCGCAAGGGCTGACAGCTCTCTGGTCAGTGCCGATGATCCGGCGAAAGGCGGAGAACGCAGACAGACACAGGAGCAACCTGCCACAGTCACCACGGCAGGGGACGGTGCGTGGCCGATTAGCAGCCTATAGCACCTGTCTGTGCACGCCGGCATCAGCCGCCCAAGCGTTCGAACCAGGCTCCAACATAAACAATCTTCTGGAGACCATTCGGTCAAACACATTCCTGCGGAGGGAGCTGGTAGGAACGTTGGGTTGCTCGGGCAATGGCCAGGGTCAACGGCGGCGTGGTGTATTCCGCACCCCACCCAGCCCCACCCCACCCTCCCCACCCAGCCCCACCCTCCCACCCAGCCCCACCCTCCCCACCCAGCCCCACCCTCCCCACCCAGCCCCACCCTCCCCACCCAGCCCCACCCTCCCCTCCCCACCCAGCCCCTCCCTCCCCACCCCTTCCCTGCACGACGGACGGACGGACACAATAATCCCCTGTGGGCTGGTGTAACCAGGAGGTTCCTACCAGTATAACCACAGTGTATGTCTTCTACACATATATATGTGTGTGTGTGAACACACATATATATGTGTGTTCACACACACACACATATATATATGTAATGCGTCGTAGGCGCGGTATTTAGAAGGCACGACTCGCTGTCAAAGTTAAAGGCTCAAATCCTGGATCCGATGTCGACTCATCGTCACCACCCATCACCTACATCATCATTGCTCGGCGCTAGATAAAATTGGTACAAGGTTGTGTGGAAACGAGTTGTCGGCGGAGTCGTGCACTCGCTGTGGCAGAGCGCAGAGACTTTACGTAACAACACGGCGAGGACGCAGAACGTGTCGGGCAACACGACACAGCCCCTAACAAGTCGCCGCATGTTACACGGCGGTGCAATGTTGACAGCAGACACAGCAACTCCGTTTAACTTCTCTCTCTCTCGCTGCTGAATGGGACGTCATTCATCAGCTGCGCTTTCAGTCGCAAGCCGCGTCCACCGTGAATTAACGCACGAACGCGGCACTTGCGTACCGTTGGCGTGTACAGAGTAATATCCTGTGGGTTGTTGTTGTTGTATAAATCGTAAATAAAGCTGGCGTACCTGTTGACGCTGCGCTGCTCACGCTTCCTGTTGATCTGCCACGGGACCGGGGTGACATCACCTTATATACGACCACGTGACCGCGTCATCACGACCCCCCACCCCCAACGCCTTCTCGCTCCTATTGGCTGGCAGGGAAATTAGACCAGAAGTTTAATGATTTAAAGCTTTCGTGATTGCAGTGATTGCAGGGATTCATATTCATGGTTCTTTCGGTAGAGTCACGTATTATTTCCCTTTTACGTGACTTTACCGAAATAACCAAGATTATAATACGTAAGTTTAACGGTTGAAATACTGGCACAGTCATGAGAATGTGGAATTTCCACGGCTTGCTTTAAAAAAAATAGCAGTTAGTTACGATAGTTTTCACGGTAAATAAAAGGTGAAGCACGTTTTCAATGCACGCACTTTTATTTCCACTCGAAAGTGGAAAATAACTTATTTTGAGCCCACGATTAAACAAATTTGATACGATCTTAATTTGATCCACTGAATGAAAGTGGACGGCTTCCTTTCGATGTTTCAATTCTTTATGCAAGCCACCCACTTTTATTCAGCACATACAATTCGATTATTTCTGGGGTCAAAATAAGATTCTACTTTTGAGTGCAAATAAAAGTGTGCATTTTTTTTTTTACTTTTGACGAATCTCAGAAGCTAAGCGAGGATTAAAAACGCTCACCAACATAACGAGCCATTATATTCAAATTGGGTAAAAAAAACCCTCGATATTTCAAGAAGCGCAATGCATGCGAATACAAGACGGTCCTTTCATTAATAACGTCACGAAGCAGTCCTGAGAGCCCCATGCGGCTCTGAAGCTGCAGGTTGCAGACCCCTGAACTCGGTTCGGCCCCACGGTGGAGAGATATGAAAACTGCCTTGCCTGGTATGCAGGAGGTCGTGGGTTCGATCCTGACCCCGACACCTGTATATTTGGAGATTGCATGTTCTCCCCGCAGTCGTGTGTATTTTTCTCCTGGTTCTTCCCTGAACGTTTAGAAACATGCGTTTAGCGTATTTTGCTGCTATAATTTTCCACATAAGCCACTTCGTTGAACTACCAATGGTGGCCAGGCCTCTTTTGAAAGATCTATACACCTCAGTGGGTCCTTACCTGGTAAAAAAAAAGTGTATTTAGTGGATATTACTGGTAGGAACCACCTGGTTCCACCAGCCCACAGGGGATTATTGTGTCCGTCCATCGTGCATCAAAAATGGAAGGGGTGGGGCTGGGTGGAGAGGGTGGGAAGGGGCTGGTCACCCCGTGGTGCCCTTATAAAACTCGTTTAACCTACTCACGCTGGCTTGTGCCCACCCTCACAGTCGGCCATATTTGCGGAATACACCACGCCACCGTTGACCCTGGCCATTGACAGAGCAACCCAACGTTCCTACCAGCTCCCTCCGCAGGAACGTGTTTTAGGAGTACCAGGTGTAGGTTTTGGCTTAGGTGGCAGAAGAGCAATTGTTTTTTTTACTCCACCTATGCAGGAACTGGTTTTCCTCCCGGATATGCGGTGGATTTTCTCCAGGTGCTTGTCATTTCCCACCTGCTACCAGCATGAAGTAGTCACAATAACCCCCACAACTTGCATTGTGTGGGGAGGCCCTCATCCACTAGTGGACTGACAAAACAGACTGTACATTGCAATGCCAGCACCAGATCACCATCTCCATACCTGGTTCAATAAATTGTGATGCTTTGTGAAAAGTCGACAGTAGTTGAGCTAAGTAGACTGATCACTACATAGACATGTAGAATTTCCACTACGGATTCAGGAATGCACAACTCCAAAAAATGTCTGTGGCGCGATGGTCGTCACTTGGCAATTCAGTTGCAGTGGTGACAATTCCACATTCAAGTGGCGTGGTCCATTTGACAACCAAATCATCAAACACACACCATTTAATTATTATCCCCATAAACAGTTACAACATTTTTTTGGCAATAGCAATGAAATGAAGCAAGTAAACAGATATACATTTGTATGTACTTTATTAACACATTTAACTTCCAGGGTTGGATAGCCTATATCGGTTTAAAACAAAAAGCAAAAACAATAACCCAGAAATGACCATTTGATCAAATGGACAACAGTGATTCTAACACAAATGACATCTGTTGCTTGGATGGGCCAAACTTGAGCAAATACTTGAACTTTATTTCTTCCCAGACTTCTTTATTCCACCACCAGCTGAAAAACAAAGTGCATATTTAATTAAAGACTGACATGGCATGAGCCTCACAACCAGTGATAATTTCAATTACAAAACCAGAAAACTTTCTTCAACCAAATGCTTTTTTATTTCGGTCAACGATGACATTGCTTGGACGAAAAATTGTCGACCACAATTACCCACCAATGCATGACAGACGAGATGAAATCTGCTAGACTGAGTGGACATACAGACAAAGATTTAGTCACTTTATTCAAGACAGTGGAGTTCTGAGGAAGAAGCCTCTGTGCTAAAACAAACATTGGGGCAGAGATTCTCTCTATTGGCAACCCTTGGGGCTAGGTGGAAATGTCACATTCCCATGAAGCAGGCCAGTCTTTTAAAAGGATGACTGGATTTTTCAAACAGTGGTGCTCATCTTGATCAACCATGGAGGGATAACACCGAGATGATTGTGATATAAACTGGCAAGTCACATTTAAAACAATTTCTTGACTTGACAAATCAAATGACGCAATGCCTGCATTTCCATTCGATTACATAACACTAACAATCAACAGTAATTTTCCCAGGAAAGACAATCTGAAGACTCATTTTCAGATGCCACTTACTTTGAGCGGTTTGCCCAATTGCTTATCGAGTGTTTTTAGTGGCCCAAGAAAATCCAGTGCTTATCGAGCGCTCAAAGAAAATCAACAAACACAAAGGGACAACGCTCACAATTTACTTCTGCACACCTGTTCATATCAACGAATAAATATTGAATACATATTAAATAAATAATTGGCACACTCCTGCATTTGATCTGCTCACGTCACTGCCGGCAAAAGGGCTTCCACCCCAACACATGCGACATGCCGATCGACATGCCGATCGACATGCCGATCGACATGCCGATCGACATGCCGATCGACATGCCGATCGACATGCCGATCGACATGCCGATCGACATGCCGATCGACATGCCGTCGTGAAGCCGATCGACATGCCGATCGACATGCCGATCGACATGCCGATCGACATGCCGATCGACATGCCGATCGACATGCCGATCGACATGCCGATCGACATGCCGATCGACATGCCGATCGACATGCCGATCGACATGCCGATCGACATGCCGATCGACATGCCGATCGACATGCCGATCGACATGCCGATCGACATGCCGATCGACATGCCGATCGACATGCCGATCGACATGCCGATCGACATGCCGATCGACATGCCGATCGACATGCCGATCGACATGCCGATCGACATGCCGATCGACATGCCGATCGACATGCCGATCGACATGCCGATCGACATGCCGTCGTGAAGCCGTCTGTTCTGCTGGGTGGGCAGTGGTAGGTGGGGATTTAAGAAACTTGCTATACCGTTTCAACCGGTGACCTCTGGATTGTAAGTCAATGTGTCTTAAATAACACAACACAGCATTATCCCTTATTATTACGAAAAGATTATACGTGTGGAGCAGCGATGTGGTCAGAGTACCCAACTCACGATGGCAAGGTCGAGTTTAAATTCCAGTCAAGGGTCCCCGGCAAAGACGACAAAATGAGAAGTACTGTGTGTGTGTGCGGTCGACCGTCATTGTGCTTTGAAGCGGCTGGGCCTCGTCACAGGAATACGGAATTTCCATCCCTGATCCAGGGGTATCAAAGGAGAGCACTGCTCCACATTATTTAAGAAAGTTCAAGCTTTGACTTAATAAAAACAAAACAAGTTTAATTTGTTATATGTAAGGAAAAAAAAGACGCTTTCATTTGTTGAATGAATTTAAATATTTGACCTGGATAATCCCTTAAGATGGAACACCTTGTTTGTTTGTGCGTCCAGTATGTTATGCATCCCATACATACCACTGTTAGAAAAAGTATGTATAGAAAGACTGTGTTTATGCAATATAAAATACATATATATGCATCAACAACTTGTACAAGATGGCCGAGGTAGCGTGCATGAATGTCACACTGCAATCAAACAGAAATAAATGGTGTACACCGCAGGTTCATATTGGATATTTTCCAGCATTAACCTTTACAGTGAAGGGAATAGAATCACAAAGTATCACACAAATGTGCGCCAATTTTTTCGTAGAATGGCAGTCTATTCACTACATATTTATCTTCAATTCATGCTTATAATTTTGTATTATAGATATCACATGCAATATTCAATTGCCTTTCCTTCACAGAGTTATAGCTTTTTCAACAATACGTTAAGTTGTTATCTGGGTCGTATGTGCTCGTGATCTGCACTCTGGTTGGTGTATTACTTACCTCTGGCGTGGGGAGGCAATTTTTGTAAAATGTAATGGGGACACGTTCACAGCCATTGCAATTTGCTCTCAAACATTTCAATTGCATTTGAAAAGGATGTAGAGAGCCGAGCGGCTCAAAGGGGGCGGGGGGGGGGGGGTGTGTCGGGGGGAACGAAACTGCTTTCTCTAGAAGCCCCGAGCAAAAAAACACTTAAAGAAAGTTGGGTTCCAATTCAGGTTCTAACTGCCCATGATTACACCATAGTTCAGTGTTTGCTGCTTTCGGTTTTGTCTCCAATTGACAATTGCGCTTGAATTATACCTTTAGCGCTGTTGCAGAGAGCCCGACTCGCACGCTTTAGGTTGTGCATTCAAAATCTACAAGATTTGTCCTGTGGGGAAGACCCGTCTCTGTGATAGAAATGAGGAATTTCGACCAGTGGTTCAGGGCTGCAAATGTAGAGGAGCAGTCCCTTTGCTCAGTTGGGCAAAGGAGACCTCTGACCATCAAAGGACCACTCCTCCAAGGAGCCTTACTCTACTCTGATCATATTCCTCAACGTAATGTATGCTCCTGTTCATTCCCTCAACGTCTCTTTATCGCTTATTTATTTCTGCCAGATGGAGCAACTGCTGCACAGTAATCCCCTTGATAGTTCATCTCTGGGTGCCACCCCAATGCCCATCTCCGCAACCTCCCTTCCTCCATTGTGTCCATGCTTTCCACCCTTCACAGCCTCCTCTCCCTGGTTAGATATACAATGCTGTCTTGCCACATCATCCAAGCTTCAAAGTCAATTGCCCCAGTGCCAGGAAATAATTAGAATTATCCACTTGCACCTAAACTCAAATGTCAGACGTATCTTTTTGAGTTGCTTTGTTAAAATCCGTCTCTCTGACCCATACACCTAAGAGACATTACTACCGCCTCAAACATCCATATCTTAAAACTGACCTCGATGGAACATTTTCCTTATCGAGGGTTGAATAGGACTTTCATATATCGTTTGTTAGTGTCACACACACCTCGGTGTTATCCAATAATAATGTGAATTTTTATTAGGGCTCAAATTTTCTGGTTGACTTGAGTGTGTTAATATTTGAAACAGTGTTGCCAAGTTGAAAATATTCCCCTCCGATACCAGATGAGTGTGGTTATAGTGCAGCTAAGGTGCTTGCAGCGATGGAAAAATATCGTTTGTGGGCCATTTCAAAGTGGTAGGCGCCATGTGGCAGTGGACCGGACGAAACTAAGTCATGGATCATAGGTTCCCCCACTCCTGGTATCACCATCATGCGTGTTCAATCCACTGCTGGGTTTTAGGGCTCCAAGTCGCCGCTATCTCTCACGATTCCACGGTGTAATAATCCACGCAGCACCTGCCAATGAGCCGATTTCACCGTTCCATTTCGTTGATGATGTCCTTAGGTTCCATTCCTTTATCTCCACACTAATGACACTTGACCATCCGCCTTCATTCCTACGAGTGACATGTCCTTCCCTAGCTCACTGGACATCTGTGAAACTACAAGACATCTGTGAAAGAGCTTTATAATAGCGCATCGGATTCATCCATTATACATATTTTGACTAGGATTCACTTACTGTTCTTAAACGCCTCAACAATGAGGTCATTATTCCCGCATATGTTCTCGAATCCACGTGTCTCTTCATGTATCTCAATTCAATGGATGCTTCTTTGATGTAGATCAAACAAACTTGCACCAATCAGGGTTTTACTTGAAAGATGCTAAGGGATATGTCTCTCCTACGTACAGATCATTAATAATTGCCGACAATGGACCTCTACAACTTGAGTACGTACTCAGTGGTCCCTTTTGCCCAGCCTTGGCCTTTAGCTCCTCCAGTTTCTTCTGCTCCTCCTTCTTCTTCTGCTTGAATTCAGCATCATTCTGCAAAGGGGTTATAAATTGAACACACAGTGCACATTACACAATTACCTCTCACCAGAAGCCATTATCCATCCACCGCTGGATGATCCACTCCCCCACAAACTACGCCATCCCTCATTGTCGAGCGATGCCACAATCCATCTCGCGACTTCGCACGAGCATATTTCATCGCGACATCTCCATGGTGGTCATCCTCTTGCGAGTGTTCTTTCCCTTGACTGCCATTCTGTAACCGGTCTCGTCATCGACCACCGTCCAGTGAAGTGTCCTGCCCAAGCCCAATTTACTTTCCTCAAGTCAATAAATTGTGTTAGGTTAGCATATGTTCCACGATCAATGTATTCCTCCATCTATCAGTGCAATTCTTAACATTAATCTCCCCTTGCTTCTTGCATTCGTCTTAAGCCTGTGCTCCACTAACAGTATCCGTGTTTTTGATCTGTACGTTTAAACAGTTAATAATATACACGGATTGAAAACTTTATATTCCAGAATATTATTCCTAAATCTAGTTTTTGGAAAACATCTTAGGTCGCTGTGAATCGTTCTGATCAGAGCATTTCTTTGCCCAACGTTTATATGCAGATCTCAGTCGCAAAACATTACAAATACCCATGGCAACAAACGTCAGACGAAAAGGAGGACATTCTAGACATCATACACTGCCCTTCACAGTATTAAAGCAGGGAAAACGCAAGGCCTCTATGGGATAACTGCGGACATCATCAACGACGTAGGACCGGATTTAATAAACGTTTACAGATAAATGAGAACGTTCAACAGTGGACTGACGCCTCATTCTTCAACGTAACAAAACCGATTTAAGACTTGCAGACCTCGTAGCTTGTCATCACCTAAACAAATTGCTCAAAAGGAATTATTGGACAACATAACAACAAACCACACACGTTGTTCACCACGAGCTACAAATGTAAAACAACAAAATGGCAAAAAATAATCTACAGTATCAGTACGTAAAGCTTGCTTTTTGGACAAAGACAAGGGTTTTTTATTAAGGGAAACGGATTAATGATTCAAGTTATCGCAAACATTGTTCATGTTAACAGCTACTTGGCTCTATTACCAAGAAACTGGCAGTGCCTAAACCCGCAGGCCTCAGCTTGCTGTGGATATTCCATATTCGTATGCCGAGGGAAAAGTCCATCCAAAGGAAACCCACTGCTGATAGTCTACGAAACCAATATCCACAGTTGTACTCAGTTACTGAAGAAAATCTTTCATTAAAAAAATGTTAAGCCTCTTTATTTGCTACGTACGATGCATCATTCAAGGGGCCTTGCTGCAGAGAAAACATTTCCTAATACGGATAAGAGTCGAAGGCAACAGCCGCCGCACCCCATTGGCCGGATCCCCACGTCACGTGGCCGCAATGCGCCAATCACAAGAGTGGACGGTGCACGTTTCGCCAATGCACCGTACGAAATGTAATCTGTCCCGTGGTACTAGACTGCCATAATCGCGAGTTATCTTCATAATCTTCGACGTCTGAGTACTCGCCTCATCCTCCTCTTTCGCTTGCTTCTTGGGCGCCTTCAGAGGCTTCTTTTTGCCGCCTGTGGGGAACAAAGCGTTAAAAACATTAACCTTCAATGGCCGATTCTATCATCCTTAAAACACCACGTTTCTCCCCCCCCCCTCTCTCTCCCCATCTGTTAAACGAATTAAAACAATTAAAATACATTTCACCAACAAACGGCAGGACGCACCCACGGCAAGCGAGTGTTGTAAAACGAATGAAACGCGGTAAACTAAAAGGCATTTAACGCTCATACCTTCTCTTCCAGACATGTCAGAGCAGGGCAGTGCGCGCGAAGAAAAGAAGATTATGGCAGAGGCGTGCGAATTAATGACTCCTTATATGGGCAACGTGGGCGGGAACCTTGCGGGACGGTCGCATAAATTATGTTAATTTTTCAAAGAGGCGCGGCCTCCCCGCATAAATTATTCCTTATATGGGCAACGTGGGCGGGAACCTTGCGGGACGGTCGCATAAATTATGTTAATTTTTCAAAGAGGCGCGGCCTCCCCGCATAAATTATTCCTTATATGGGCAACGTGGGCGGGAATCTTGCGGGACGGTCGCATAAATTATGTTAATTTTTCAAAGAGGACGCGGCCTCCCGCATAAATTATTTCTTATATGGGCAACGTGGGCGGGAATCTTGCGGGACGGTCGCATAAATTATGTTAATTTTTCAAAGAGGCGCGGCCTCCCCGCATAAATTATTTCTTATATGGGCAACGTGGGCGGGAATCTTGCGGGACGGTCGCATAAATTATGTAATTTTTCAAAGAGGCGCGGCTTCAACGGTTTGCGGCTCGAGATCATCCCGCATAAATTATTCCTTATATGGGCAACGTGGGAGGGGAGCGTGCGACACTGGGGCATAAATATGTTAAATTGAAAAGGTGCGCGTGTTCCCACCAATGTGGTTCGAGACCATCGTCGCGTAAATTATGTTAATTTATAAGAGGCGCGTTGTAACAGATACAATTAGTTTAACACGTAGCAGGCTTTCGCCACCAATATTATTCATAATAAACGTTTTTGGGTTAGATCGCGTTATTTATAAATGTGTCGTAACCCTCCACCACCCGACACGGCCAATCAGATCAAATTAATCCGCGTCCGAACGCATTATAAATTATGTTAATGCAGAGGAAAGCCAATTAGCGTCAAGGGGCAGTTGAATGTGGGCTTTTTTGAGCCACAAATTAAGTCTTTAGATCCACAAATCGTCGATTTCGCTCCAGAAATCACGTGACAGTAATCACCATGCTTGATCCGTGCTCGATGAAGCTCGATTTCCGTTTAATCGAGCATTGAATTATTAAAACACGCGGATTCCCGTTCCAGAATTCCTTATATGGTCAAAGCCACGCCCCATGACTTTACCGAAAGACCCAACGAATATTAATTCCTGCAGTCAGGAAAGCTTTAAGATCATTTCATCTTGTTACAGCGCCATATGGCTCGAAGCATCCGCACATGAATTATTCCTAATATGGGCAACGTGGGTGCTTCATGCACGGTTGCATAAATTATGTAATTGTTCTATAAGCTACATCGCTTACGGATTGAGATGATCCGCGCATAAATTATTCCTTATATGGGCAACGTGAGTGCTTCATACACGGTTGCATAAATTATGTCAATTTTCTATAGGCTTCATAGTTTATGGATTGAGATCATCCGCGCATTAACTATTCTTTATATGGGGAACGCCGGAAACGTCGTTTTCATACCTGAGGCAGGCTGGGCTTGGTCACGTTGGGAGACTTCATCAGAATATTTATTTATACCGGAGAAATTCAGTAAGGGAAAGGTCAGAATGTTACAACAGCAAACAGTATAAAAACGCGATAGTGCAAAGTATAGGAAATGTCAAACAAATCACTTAAAAATATACAAATAAAACGAAACCATGCTACATCTTACTGGATGAAGCCCAATAAGCTATTAGATTTGTTTTTGTTAGATTGCCGGACCCAGGATATTGAATATTTTTAATGCAAATTTTCTAATTAAGTCCAAAGTAAAAATAGATTTCGATGAACGTTTTTTTTTTAATCAGATAAGGCCCACTGAGCTATTGAGCTCTTTTTCACAAGCGGCCTGGCCACAAATGATAGCTCAATGAAGTGGAAAAGTCACGGAGGTATAAATGACATAAATTAAATCACGACATAAAGCTTTCGTGACTGCAGGGATTCATCTTCTTGTTTCTTTCGGTAAAGTCACGTAGAAGGGAAGTAATAAAATAATAAAAATAAAACATAATAAAACAATTCTCACGACGTTTCGGCTACAACGCAAGCAGCCGTCTTCAGGTGAAGAATGAGACACTACCAAACTAGGAGCTTATATATAAGCTGCATTGGGGGTTGAAGAGCGCCTTAACAAAAAGAATGTGCATGTGAAGAGGAATTTAGCATATTCATGGAAAATGCGTAGGCGTTGGGCGGGGGGGTGTCAAAGTCATATTATGCCCATGCATTATGCAGGATCAGCAGCAACCAAGGGGGGTGCAGGGATTAGCAGTAACAAAGGAAAGGAATGTTAATGATATGTAGCTGCAGTTACTCAACAACCACGTAGAAAACTAAAGTATAAACTACATAAAAAACTAAAGTATAAACTGCATCGCACCATCAGTATACTTACTATACTCTATAATAAGCTGAGTTACTAACAGCAAGTAATACATTACAATTCTACCTCGTAAAAATTCTATAATATGCTTCCATCTAAACCTTATTCTCTTATATCACACGAGCATATACCGTACTATATACTGCCATAGATAAACCCAACATTAAATTATATACTGTATTGCTGTAAACCAACCTATATCTTATACATTTAATATAACACTATGTATTATTCTACACACCCTAATGTGTATCGAAATGGTTTATTACGTCCTTCCAATGATTGCTGAGCCAGAATCCATCTTCTCGGTTAAAATTGTCTCTGTGTTTGTATATGTGGATCGCCTCATGAACGAATCTCTCATGATAGCCAGATGGCTTGCAGAGAACCTCTGTCTTGGAGAAGTCGATATCATGTGAGCCCACTGAGTTGTAACAGTGATCTGCCACGGCTGAGGTGTTTGTCCTACCGTGTTTCAGGTCAGCTTTATGTTCACGGATGCGGTCCGAGACATGTCGTTTGGTTTCCCCAATGTAACTGCTACCACAGAGGCAACTAAGAGGCAACTAAGTTGCCTCTGTGGTAGCAGTTACATTGGGGAAACCAAACGACATGTCTCGGACCGCATCCGTGAACATAAAGCTGACCTGAAACACGGTAGGACAAACACCTCAGCCGTGGCAGATCACTGTTACAACTCAGTGGGCTCACATGATATCGACTTCTCCAATACAGAGGTTCTCTGCAAGCCATCTGGCTATCATGAGAGATTCGTTCATGAGGCGATCCACATATACAAACACAGAGACAATTTTAACCGAGAAGATGGATTCTGGCTCAGCAATCATTGGAAGGACGTAATAAACCATTTCGATACACATTAGGGTGTGTAGAATAATACATAGTGTTATATTAAATGTATAAGATATAGGTTGGTTTACAGCAATACAGTATATAATTTAATGTTGGGTTTATCTATGGCAGTATATAGTACGGTATATGCTCGTGTGATATAAGAGAATAAGGTTTAGATGGAAGCATATTATAGAATTTTTACGAGGTAGAATTGTAATGTATTACTTGCTGTTAGTAACTCAGCTTATTATAGAGTATAGTAAGTATACTGATGGTGCGATGCAGTTTATACTTTAGTTTTTTATGTAGTTTATACTTTAGTTTTCTACGTGGTTGTTGAGTAACTGCAGCTACATATCATTAACATTCCTTTCCTTTGTTACTGCTAATCCCTGCACCCCCCTTGGTTGCTGCTGATCCTGCATAATGCATGGGCATAATATGACTTTGACACCCCCCCGCCCAACGCCTACGCATTTCCCATGAATATGCTAAATTCCTCTTCACATGCACATTCTTTTTGTTAAGGCGCTCTTCAACCCCCAATGCAGCTTATATATAAGCTCCTAGTTTGGTAGTGTCTCATTCTTCACCTGAAGACGGCTGCTTGCGTTGTAGCCGAAACGTCGTGAGAATTGTTTTATTATGTTTTATTTTTATTATTTTATTACTTCCCTTCTACGTGACTTTACCGAAAGAAACAAGAAGATAAATCACGACATTTCGGGCGCAACACAAGCGTCCGTCATCAGGTGGGACAACCACAGCAAGAAACAATTGCTGACTTTACCGAAAGAACCAAAGAGTATGGATCCCTGCAGTCACGAAAACTTCAAATTTAAAGTGGCTTATAGTGTGGAAATTTATAGCAGCCAAATACTCTAAACGAGTGTTTCTAAACGTGGAGGGAAAATCAGAGGACCCGGAGAAAAATCCACACGACCGCGGGGGAGAGAGAACAATAAAAACTCCTAATTTGCAGCAGGCGTTAGGGTCGGAAGTGTCATGTCCTGCCCAAGCTCACTGGACATCTGTGAAACTACTAGACATCTTTGAAAAAGAGCTTTATATTTGATTTAAAGCTTTCGTGACTGCAGGGATTCATATTCTTGGTTCTTTCGGTAAAGTCACGTAGATGGGAAATTCGTTCATGAGGCTACCCACATATACAAACACAGAGACAATTTCAACCGAGAAGATGGATTCTGGCTTAGCAATCATTGGAAGGATTTGATCAACCATTTCGGGTCTTAATTGATTGTGTTCACGCTTACGGTGACTTTCAGACCGCATTCCATTCTCTTCCTCTCCCCCCTCCTCTTTTCCGAACATAGATGGACTCGTCCATCTGACCAACTGCCAAATCGCCAATTTTTTCAAATTTTCTTGCTGTGGATTTCACACCTGATGATGATTGCTTGTGTTGTAGTCGAAACGTCATGATAATTTTATTGTTATATTTTTATTTTATTATTTCCCTTCTACGTGACTTTACCGAAAGAACCAAGAATAAGAACTTTATAGTTAATCGGATTCCTCCAATACAATTACAGATGTTGATTCTAATGTTATAAAAGTGTTATGTATTATGGGTTGACTAAGTACGGTGCAAAAGAAGGTCAAAATACATGCTTTTATTAGGAAGTTCCTGCAAAGTTTTCGAAGTTATGGGGGCGGGGGATTGCTAAGTTTGCCGAGCATAAATATAATCTTTTAAAATTCAGAATCAGAATATTTATTTATACTAGAGGAATCCGACGAGTAATGAAGCTCTTTTTTCACAGATGTCCAGTATTTGTACCTTGACGCCCTCAACGTCAACCGTTAATACCGCAGCATTGACCAGGGTGGCCGAATCGAACCGTGAACCGTCCAGGCTCCGAACCCGCGTGGT